CTTAAATTGCATATCACGGCAGACATCTCAAAATACATAGTCTTCTGGGGGCTAAGCATATATTAATACATTTTGGTAGAGAGGAATATAGGCCTACTGTCATATAGGTTATGTTATCGGGCATCCTTCTAATTCTCTTGAACAACCAAGATTGAACTTTTGAACTCTTTATAATTTCTATTATCTAGTCCAGTTAAAGTCCAGGGGAGGAAGCCCCATCATAGTAAAGAGGATACTAATGTGATGTGTGTAGTTCTTCATAGCCTCTTCATTTTGCTCTCAAAGTGCACGGAATTGATGGATTTTTAACAGAATGTAGAAAAAAATTCTCCCGGGGGGGCATGCCCCCGGACCCCCCTAAAGGGGCTGTGTTCCCCTTGGGGCTAAGCCCCCCTTGTTCTTGAAACCTAGTGACGCCCCTGGCAATTAGCCTATAGATCTAAAGACCAACTTGCCTCGTAATTGTGCCTCCCGTCGTATCTCGCTCTCGTGTTCTGTGCATACATCACAAGTAGGTTTAGTGATACGCCCTTCGGATGATTCATACGAAAAATCAGACTGGCATTCCCATTTCTTAAATGTCGTAATTAGTAGACCTTTGTGAGTTTTTCTCGCCACCATCTCAAACTTTCATCTGCGCGATTCCTCAGTTTGCGGACTAAAATAGCAACCCGCATGCGCACATACCGTTATCTGTTCCGTCCTCCCCCAACACTGAAAACAAAACAAAACGAAAGTAAATTAGAAGAAAGGCACACCACACCACAAACACACATACAGGCACAGTGAAATTGCATTGATCACACAGGAGAGATTTGATCGGTACAGTCAAACTCGTGTGCGGTGACTGTTATCGTTAAACGATTTTTCGGTACTGTCAAAATGACACGACGGAAACGACACGCTACCGGTAACGATCGTTACCGTGATATCCTCAGGCCTGCCGTAGTTGTTTTTTTTTTTTTTTTTGATTGAGAAATTTCCTTGCGTCCCAAAAACGCACATTATTTGGAACTGTGCGTCCCGCAGGAAAATTATGCGTCTAGGACGCGGGACGCAGAGGTAACGAGATGGCTGACTGTAAGTAGGGTTGTCACAGGCATACATTTTTGTGGTCAACACAACCGATTTGGGTGACTTTTTATTTCTTGATTTTTTTTTAAATTTTCTTGAAATGTTGTGAAAATGATCATTTGAAAGTGCAAACACTGGCAGAGATTAAATAGAGTGTTGCATATCTTTATCCGTTTCCTAATTGCAAGACCTCATTAAACATGATCAGTGTCTGAAAATGGGCATCATTCATTAATCATATTAACACATACAAATATTATAAAAGGTAATTTGAGCAAATGGCACAGAAATCAGTAGACCAGAAGGAGTGCTTGCTCTCAGAAAGGTTGGTGTAAGTGTCATAAGAATAGTTGAATTGGAAATGAATAATATTTTGTTTCAACTTTAAGGCAAAGAGGACATTTTTATTTGTTTTATGTACATTATTTATTCACGTTGTGAAATATTAATTTAGTAAAATTAAGTTTCGTTATTTTGATTTTATCGCTATTATCGCGAGACTTGCGCTGAGGTACAGACACGTACAGACACTTGAACGCAATAGTGATGGGAATTCCGGCTCTTTTTAGAGAGCCGGTTCTTTTGGCTCGGCTCACTAAAAAGAGCCGGCTCTTTCGGCTCCCAAATGGCTCCTCAGTTTTTTTGTTGCTTAAATTAGTTTAATACCAAAAATAATGTAAAATTATGTGTAAAATGAATTACGAATGTAAAAAATATACAGTATATCAAATATTTATTATTTATATGGCTTTATTTATATTCTTCTGAACATACTCAACATGGCGTACAACATGGAGTGCTACAAAAAAATAAATTACAAAGTACAAAAACAAAGACCCATCTCAAAAAAAGGTCAACAAAAAGTTCCAATCTCTGATTGTGCATATTTATGTGTTTAAATATTTACATTAAAACAACATAAGTAAGCTTTGATTACCAAACAACAAATTAAAAATTAATATTTGATATTGGACATTTTAACCTTGCACAGTCTACACGCTGCCTTTGAACTATCAATTAAGTTGAAATCAGTCCAAATTTCACTGCGTTTCCTATCCATTTTCTCACCTTTCCACTTTCCACCGTGTAGTTTTTTTCTCTGTACTCAAGCGCTATCGCCCATTAAAGCGGCTCTCTCTTAGGAGCCGGCTCATGTCGTTCACTTCAAAGAGCCGGCTCTAAGAGCCGGCTCGTTCGCGAACGACAAATCACTAGAACGCAAGACATACAAAGAGCAGCACCTGCAAGGAATGTTCGCTACCTGTTGAAGGTATTTTGGATTTATTTAGCTGTGTTTGTGAAACTAAATGAAAGACCTGATTGTAATTGTTGTATTTTGTCATGTAGAAACTGAAAGTGTATTTTTTGTTGCACAAGACCTCCGAAGTGGCAGGCGGCAATGAGGTTAGCTTTAGCCTACATTTTTGTATTAGCCTCGTATGTTGTATCTCTATTCTAAATTGCTGAATGTATTTTATTTTACCAACAGTTTTCACGGTGTTGGTGTACAAAGGCAACCCTAAAGACACAAGTAAACACCCGTCATTTGGAAACCGTGCCCTGGTTTTAGTTACTTTGGAGCTACAGTGAAAACTCACCCAGCCCAGCGCCGGTGGGAAGCAGCCATT